TAAAAGTTTGGAGGGAAAAGAGATCTCTTAACAAAATCTAAAGCTTTTACCTATGGGATTGGGCATATCCTGCTGTTACCTTTCGTTGTTACTAACAACCTGCAAATATGCAATTGAAGTATTTCATTTTTACCAATTTCGTCAGTTTATGTTAGGTATCCTTTTGGGGGTAAATAAAAATTTCCGGCCTGTGCTTTTCCACTTTAGGACAGTGGAAACTAGTAAAAGCCCAGCAGGCAGTAGGCCTTGTAACCCCACCCAAAGAAAAGATGCTGAATCTTTGTCATATATATAACCTTTTTCTGGATGTTCGTACCTTTCTTCATTTGGAACATAATAGGTTTTCTTTGACAAACATGAGCCATTATGGAGTACATTAAGCCGTCCTAAATATGAGCATTAAATAAGTAACTTCAAATTTACATATATCACTCTTAAAAAGCTACATCAAATCAGGTTTCTGATATGTATTCCTCTTTTGTAATTTTCTATTTTCAGTTTTATTGAAAATTATGGTACACATATAGTTACATCTGCAACAGTTGGTGGAAGAGATGTGGTTTATATCAGGCAGCACCAATCATCTCTATTGTCTTTGTCGGATATTGAGAACTACGTCCATGATATCGTGGAGCATAGGTTTGTGAACTCAGAAGACCAGTCCAGTGCTGGCCCCTTAAAGTACAAGGACAAGGTTAGAATTATCGCATTTAAGACTATCAAGATTCTTCTTTTTTTTTCGTTTTTTTTCTGGCATCTTGATATTGGCACTAAACAGAAAGAGCAGTTTGTCTGTCAAACTAAAAATCATTCATCCCTTGGTAAAAGTAAAATTTGATGCCAAGTTCTTACATGTAAAGACGTTATAAGCTAAGCTTAAAATTTTTTGATTAAGAATGACGCTTGACTTCATCAACTAAATTCTTCTAATTTCTCTTCAACTTGCTTTTTGGACATGCTTGCAAAAGTTTATGAAACCATTACATTCGCCGTCTATTCCTGGATACTGTTCTGGTGGATCCAGACAACAATTCGTTTACGATGCCATTTGCATTATGATCCTTTTATATGTGTGGATTTATTGCTCAAAATTTTCTTGTTGTAGGATGTTACAGTGATTTTTAGAAGAAGAGGAGGTGACGATCTTGAGCAGAGTCATGCCAAGTGGGCAGAAACAGTCAAATTGGCCCCTGACGTAATTAACATGACATTCACCCCGATTGTTTCTCTGCTTGAAGGAGTGCCTGGACTAAAGCATTTGGCCCGCGCAATTGAGTTATATTTGGAGTGTAAGTTATCATTTAATAGTTTTTCTTCTGGCGAAGTTGTCCTTATCAAAAAAGTTGTCAAATCATTTCAGTTAAAAAAAGTTATTACTTATAAGTTGCATGCTAGTTTAAGTGGAGGAGTACGTTGATTTTTGGTGAGAGATTTATCACTAGTTAATTCCTTAGCACTACATTTTCATATTGGTTACTCATTTTACCATTTTCTGGAGAATGTTGTTACTTGTTTTTTTTTTTTTTTTTGGCTGCACACTGTTGTGTGAACAGCTGAAAGTGTCTAAAAGAATCAAATGAATAGAACAAACTTTAACAGATTTTGGTAATAAACAAGTAACTTTTAGATTATAATGAAGTAAGTTTTGCAGATTTTACAAGGAGACAAGAAAAGCTGATGAGGAAATGAAAGTTCCTCGCTAGACTTGTCCGAGAATTGTTTATACATTGAATAGGTCTTTATTATCCTCTTCTCATTATTCTTAATTATGATTACCGGTCAAGAAGAGGCTGAATTTCCACAAAAAATATTTACGCTCCTATTTGCCAAACCATGTTTATTCTCTGTTAAGTACAATTACCTTGCTGATTTTGCACTCACCGAAGTAAAATGTCATTGATTTTACAGATGCTCTCTCTCTCTCTCTCTCTCTCTCTCGCTCTCTCCCTCCCTCCCTCCCTTCTATAAATTACTAATTATTTGATTATCTTTTGTAATTTACCAGACAAGCCTCCAATTGAAGATTTACAATATTTTTTGGATTTTCAACTTGCTAGAGTTTGGGCTCCAGAACAGAGTAACATCCAAAGAAAGGAGCCTGTTTGTCCATCCCTTCAATTCAGCTTGATGGGTCCCAAACTTTTTATCTGTCCTGATCAGGTATTATTTTTTCTTTCATTTTTTGGAAATTTGCATTGTCTAATGTGTTTAGTTATGGAAGGGTAACAGAGCAAGATAATTTCTAGTGGACATTGTTTGATGGTTCTGCTTTCCAAAGTTCAATTTCCTGTACTAATTAAATCAGGTCGTTCTACTGAGAAGCAAGAACTTAATTTATGCTGCAGATAGAAAGAGGGCCTTGTCTGAGATACAGATTTGTTTAACGTAGTTGATTTGACAGACAGAGAGAGAACTTAGAACAGCATGGCTGGACTTCCAGTATTTATTACAGTTAATACAATTTTGATTCCTAAGAAGCTTAGGTCCACCAAGGCAACGATTATGGACATGATTAAGTCTATTTCCCTCATGTCAAAAAGAAAAATCTGTTTGGCATGCATAAAGTAGTCTTATCTTTTTCAGCTACTGATTTAAAGATGCTTGTTGTGGTTTCCCAAGCTAAATGAAAGTATATGTTGATGTTTCAGGTAACTGTGGCCGTAAACCAGTCACTGGACTTAGGCTTAGCTTGGAAGGCAGCAAGCAAAACAGACTTGCTATCCATTTGCAACACTGGTATCTCTTCCAAAAATCCTTCAACCTCATTGGACACACATGTTGCCATAGGTGCACCAAGATGGAAAGGTCCAGAAGAGCAGGACAGCCGCTGGTTCGAACCTATAAAATGGAAGAACTTCTCTCATGTAAGCACCACTCCAATAGAACACACTGAGACCTGCATTGGAGACCTTTCTGGAGTTCATATCGTCACGGGTGCTCAACTTAGTGTCTGGGATTTTGGCTCCAAAAATGTATTACATCTTAAACTCCTTTTCTCCAAAGTACCAGGTTGTACAATAAGGCGGTCTGTCTGGGATCACAGTCCCACAAAGCCTTCTTTCCAGCGTGCTGATGGTGCATCTTCGTCTGTTCCAAATGAGAGAGTGTCTGATGATAAGAAGGAAGATAGTTCAAGTCAAATCAGAAAACTAGCGAAAATTGTAGACATGTCTGAAATGTCCAAGGGACCGCAAGATACTCCTGGCCACTGGTTGGTCACAGGGGCTAAGCTAGGCGTTGATAAAGGAAAGATTGTATTACGCGTAAAGTACTCCTTACTAAATTATTGATAGATGTTTTCTTCTTTTTTCCCTTTCTGTTTAGTAGGATTATCCTCTTCCATTTGTAAGCATAGTCAAGCATTCTTTGCACAGGTGATCCCAGTTCTTTTGTACTTCTGTACATTGTTCCCCTTTAGTTTCTTGCTCTCTAGACCCCTCCTTATTTTATAGTCACTTTCATTAGCTATATCTTGAGGGTCATTCTGTTTGAATTTTGATTTTAGTATTTGTTTGTTAAATGTTAAGGTAATGATACACATATTTTAGTATGAAGTTAGGTTTTATTTTTTTTATTTTTATTTTTTAAGGAAATGGAATACTACCATTTAAATTATGGCTTTGCATTTGATCTGTCATGCTTTAGAGAAATTAAGTTCTAGGGTGAAGGTAATATGGATGTTTTGTTCTAATGGAGTTTTGAGTGAAAGTGGGATATCTTCAGTCTTCTATTTCTAGTCTTCACAGTCAGAGGAATTATTTTGTATAATATATTTGTAATTATATAGTATAATTTTCTTTTTATAATTGTTAGTTGAAGAAAAATTAAGGTTACTAATAAAATTTATAAGATTTATTCCACTAATGAGGCAAAATATCTTGTTAATGTATAACCATTTTATGAAGTAATTTATATTTATGACAATTTGGTTTACTAGGTAAGATAAGACTAAAAAAGTGATGTGAAACAAGATTTTATAATTAGGATTATACTATACTACTTTGATTTAGCAACTAAAAATAGCGAATTACAATTTTACCATGGTGTTTGATTTTATGGGATTTGAAGTTGGAATAAAAAAACCAATAAGTTATAAATATTATGACACTATATTTTTATATTTAATTAAAAATGTATTATTTTTTGAATTATTTTAACATATTTCATAAAAATTTACATATCTTAAACTCTATAACTTGACGAGAACTAAATGGTGCATAAATGGTGAAGAATTGCCCTCTCATTTACTTATCAATCTCCATTTTACTAATCCTCATACGTGCGAAATTTATCTGGTATTCAAAATCAAAATAATAATTTGTTAATAATGTATATGTCACTTGAATAAATTTATTATTCTCCATGATTATAAACTTCGATAAATTTTAGGATTTATTTAAAGTTATTTCTCAAAAATCAACTTACGTTTCTTCTAATCAAACATCTCATAATATTGGTTGTACGTTTCTCTTACTTGATAAACTTAGTAGTCTCTCTTAACTTTCACTAAGAAATTAACTATTTTTCGGGAACTCTAGCTTATGCATGTTTCTATGATTTGAAAAAAAAAAAAAAAGATGAGATTCATAGTTAAATTGGATAATATTCACATTTTACAACCAGTCAATAAAGTTCGCACCAACATGATTTATGCATTATATGCTTTTAAACATATTTAAAGGCACTTTTATTTACAATATTAGTTTATAAAAAATGTTTATAGAGATGTTCATACTTAAATAACACAAAATTACTCTACATCTATAATTGATTTTCTATCACCTTACTAAGAATCTAAAGTTTAAAATTAATTCATAAAAGATGTGCAATACAAGAAAATATCAAGAAAGATTAGGTATATTTTCTTAATACGCTAGTTTCTTATAATAAGTATTTAATTATTTGCCGCGATTCACAATAACAAAAACACACAAATGTACTATTTATATAATCTCTTTATTAATTGTTTAACTAATTTTTTTTTAAAATTTTTTTAACCTGTAAACAATTAATTGAGTTACATATAGATCATGAGGTTATAAAGAAGTTTATGCCAAATGTATTATTTGTCTCTAATTTATTTATAATAATTAATAATATTATATATTTAAATATTAATAAAATCTTTTTTTTTTAATGGAAGCGATATGTTAAAAATTCTATTAAAATTTATATATTTTATAATTGTCATTATGATTTGAATATTAATGTTATGTACTATATTATCAGTATATTTTCTAATGTATTAGGTTTCTAGATTAGTAGTTATGTCTAACATTACTTTATTATCATAATGTAATATTATAATTTTTAGATGACAGATTCTAAAAATATCTAAAAAGTAACCTAATTTAGGGAAGTTAAAAACATATTGTTTATCACTGTGTTTTTGTAACGACCCCGAAAATTCAAAAGGAAATACATATAATAATTTATATGCGGAAGTGAAATAAGAGATTAAGGTTAACATCCCTTACACAATAACTTAAAAATACTAAACAATATCACAGAATAAGTTCTCTAAAAGAAATACGAGAAATGAGAAAAATAAAAGAAACTATAAAACATTTAACATCTACTTGCCGTCTTCTTGTGGATCGGGCTCGGGAACCAGGTCCTCCTGATCTGAAATGGTTAAATAAGGAATGAGCTATACTAGGCCAGTAAGGACATCACACTATATCACCGTCACAGAAGTAAAAGTTAATAGAAAACCAAAAACAACCAATGGAGCACAAATTTTAAAGCAATACATTTATTTAAAATAAAATCATTTACCATTTTCTTTACCCTCGAAGAACCTGTGAAAACAACTTATAAGCACAACAACATCATACAAATCACAATTTCATGTATAATCAGTAACATAAAACACATTATAAATCCGTATTCATTAACAATAACTGACTATCACCGTTTCTCGTTTTTACCAGTTTACTAGTATCCATGGGGATCCATAGGGGTCCCCGCTACACGTGAACTATTCTCCTTAACAATCTTAATTCTAGGACTGTTTCCATACCCCGTTCGGTATGAACACCAAAACAATAAACCTCAATACCTCGTTCGGTATGAGGGTGAAGCGGACTGTTCCCATACCCCGTTCGGTATGAGCACCAAATGACCAAATCTCCATACCCCGTCCGGTATGAGACAACGTTCACGGTAGGGTTCCCTATGAACCTAGTCCGTCCACCATCTCCCAAGATATCTAGTGAGGCTGTCATCTTATCCATTCATCAAATCACATCCCATTCCTATTTGTCATTAGTCTCCGTTACCAATTTAAACATAAATACATAAACAAGCAACGTGTATCCAACAAAGCAAGCATATCTTAGATTCCCAAAATCAAACAGTAGTGAAGTAAGCAGTGATACATGCATTTAAAACCATATAATAGATAAACCAAGTACCATAATATATTTAAACTATAAAATAAATCAAACAGGAATCGATAGAGAATAATGTCCGGTTCGGGCTCCATTAGCAACCGTAATTAATTATGTATATCTATTTAATTTGTACAGAATATAATATTATCATTTATTCAAACTTAAATTCCATGATAGGAAATAGGTGAGGGGTCCTTACTTGATTCGACATCGAAAACTAGATCGTTACTGCGCCTATGGGCGGTCCCTGGGTTCCTTGAATTTTTTTTCGGGAACTGAAACACGCTTACGGTACCTACACATGTCCCAAATAACCCAAAAATCAGACCCAGGCCCTACTTGGCCAATTTTGGAATTCCAGAACGGTGGCTTCGCCGTGCTTCGGCGACGGTGCCGCCGCCCTTGGCGGCAATCCACCTCGGGTTGGCTGTTTTCGGCCATTTTCGGCTGAATTAAGCCAAACTTGCATCAGTTCCTGTGAGAAAACACACTTAGCGCCCTTGGTGGACCGAAAAAATATAAAAACTAAAACTTATCGACAGTGGGGCTCTCCGGTGCGGCGACTCCTCCGGCTCACGTTACAGTTAAGTGTTTTGTTCCGGTCAACCTGTAGAGGAGAAAACGATGATCACAACGGTAAAAAATCACATCGAACAGGAATCGGAAAGGGCCTCATCGGAGGTGAAAATTGAAATACCCCGCGGCACCACCGCTGAGCTTCGGCGGCGTTTCCCGGCCAATTGGTCGGTGCTTTCCCTCCGATCTAGCCATAGGTGAGTTTAGAATCAAATTCTGAGTAAAGGGTTTAATTTTTACCTCGTTTGGCGGTCAAAAGTTGCTCTGGTGCGGCGGCAGGTGGCGGCGGTCGGTTCCCCGGCGGCTGGGCTGTCTTATCCGGCGAGAGGCTCTGACGGCTAGGGTTAGGGTTTGGGTGCGGATGAGGTTATTTATACCAATCCGCTTTTGATCTGAGCCGTCCATCACTTTTAATCTGTATCTTCTGATCGCGATTAAATAGGAAGTGAATCTGGACCGTTCATCGCGATTCAATCTGAGCCGTTCGTACGCGATTCAATCTTGGTCGTCTGTGCGCGATGCAATTTGGGCCGTCCGTGCACGTTTTTGATCTGGGCCATCCGTGCACGCGGGAACGGATTTCAGCAGTTCGATCGCGCGCACGCGAATCGCCCACGTGGCTCCCTCCCGCATTAGTGTCGCTGCCACCTGGCACGTCCTGGTTGGTCGGGGCTACTAACTGGGCAGCTGATGTGGCACAACTTTTTAAAATTACGTTTTGACCCCTAATTTCTGATTTTTCTTTCAAAAATACTCCCATAACCCAAATTTTCACCCCTATTCTCCAAAATTATTTTTAATTAAATGCCTAAATAATTTTTACCCCCTTTTTATTATTGTTATTATTATTATTTCCATTAAAATAAATTAAATTAAATTAAATTCAATTTAAAATTACATAAATAATAATTATATTCATACAATAATAATTAATAAAAAAAAGAAAAGGTTGGGTGTTACAACTCTCCCCCCTTAAAAGAAATTTTGTCCTTCAAATTTGCCTCTTACTCTTGATCGAACAGCTGGGAGTACCGGGCTCTAAAATCTGATTCTAGCTCCCATGTGGCCTCCTTTGGTGTGTGGTTCTGCCATACGACCTTTACAAATAATATTTTTCGGTTGCGGAGTAATCTGCTCTTTTGATCCGTAATGCAGACTGATACTTCATCGTAGGATAAGTCCTCCTGGAGTGGGAGAGGTTCGTGGGCCAAGACATGAGAAAGGTCTAGGTTGTACTTGCATAGCATGGACACATGAAAAACATTGTGGATCTTGGAAAGATCTGGAGGCAGTGCTAGTCTGTAGGCGGCGGTACCAATCATGTCCAAGACTTCAAATGGTCCAATAAATCGGGAGTTCAGTTTTTCCCTCCTGTCGAACCTACTAATTTCCTTGAAAGGAGTAACCTTAAGGAACACCCGGTCGCCTTTCTCAAACGTTAAATCTCTCATTCA